GTTCCTCTAGTAAACCCTGACTGATACACATGCATTTGTCCAGGTTCCGGATTGCGGAATTTTATACAGCAGGCTCAGGGTTATTTTTTTCTTTGTACTTGTGCCTCCAGGTGGTCGGCCTTAGCACACAGGTGGGGTGTTGGCCCTGGGGTGTTGCACAGGTTCCCTAGGTCCTGAGCCTCAGTTGTATCATCTATATTACAGAGTGGGATTGTACAGGGTGTCACCGGTGGGTGCCTAATTTTGGAGATCAATTTAAAGAATGATGATGATGTTGTGGTGTATGTTTAGGAGAGAAGACTATATTACAGCGAGACCATCAGAAATATTCCTGGGTAAAGTAAGCAGGAAGGAGCACTGATGAAGCCAGACTGACCGTGAGCTGACAAATATTAAAGCTGCCTGGGAAGGAGGGCACATTACAATATTCTCTTATCATATGTCTGCGTGAGACCCCCTTGCACACTAAAAAGTGTGTGTGTGTGTGTGTGTGTGTGTGTGTGTGTGTACGGGGGCTTGAAGTCAGGACCTCACATTGAGTTATATCCCCAGCCCATTTGTTATTTTTTATTTTGAGACAGGCTCTCACTAAATTGCCCAGGCTGGACTTGAACTTGGGATCCTCCTGCCTCAGGCTGCCAGAAGGCTGGGATTATAGGTGTGCACCACCGTACACAGTTTACAAAGTGTTTTAAAATGAGCTTCCCTTCCCGCAAATAATCCAGTTTATTTGACAAATAAATGACTTGAAAAAATAGGAGGATGCAACTATGGTGAATCAAGAAAATGTCAGAGGTAGTCAATCCGTCTGAAGCCAGAGCGCTGGGTGGTACTGAGCTCGCGCTGAGGTGAGTGCGGCCGCTGCCTTGTGTTTCTGCTTCTTGGTTTGAACTCTCTCAGCGACTGAGAAAGCGGTGCACAGAGCGAGCGCTTCACAGCAGGACCCTCGGGTCCCCCAGTGCTCCTGGGAGCTGAGGGCCGCAAGAGAGACGGAGGCGGGGTGTCACGGTTTGGTTTTTTTGGCTTTCTTCCTTTTTGTGTCTGTGTGTTTGTGTGCTCGTTTTTGGTGGCGCTGGACATGACACCCAGGGCCGTGCACCATCTCGGCAAGTGCTCTACCGCCGCGCTACATCTCCAGCTCCAAAGAGCCAGTTTTGTATCCCTATTGATTTAATCTGTTCCTTCACCTTTGGGATTATGTAAGGTCGATTTATTTATTATTACTAGCATATATCTGCAGTGGTAAGGTTTATAACGAGTAGGGTTTATAAAA